GTGTGTGTGTGTGTGTGTGTGCGTGTGTGTGTGTGCGTGTGCATGTGCATGTAGGTATATATATGTGTATTCATGTATGCTTGTGCGTGTGGTTTTGCATTTGTGTCTGTACATGGTTGTACGTGTGTCTGTGACCGCGTTTGACGCGCCTGTGCATTTTGTTGTAGACGAGTGTGTTTGTTTGTGTTGCTCTTTTGTGTGCTCATAGATGTCCGCACATGTACGTATATAGATATACATATGCTGGTAGGATTGGCTATATGGGCTGGTTTTTGTATCTATGGCACTTACTATATATATATGTGTGTGTGTACGTATACTTAAATATGTGTATATACAAATTTATATACACACACGTATATATATATATATATATAGGAGCTCATATATATATATATATATATTTAAACATATATAAATAAGGAAATACACATATTTTTTCTTGTGAGTCGTCTTTTGGGTTTGTTCCAATTGAGAGGATGTCACATGAGCGCGTTTATTCATGCGTATATAGATTATGGGCCCGTTTTAACTCGCCCATGTATGTGGTCTGTGATATATAAACGTATACATAGGAACGTGTTCGTATTCTTATGTACTGTACAAGCAGGTGTGTAAAATTATTACAATGCGTTGATCAATTGCACTACGCATGCAAGCCGCATTAGTTCCCATGGCGTTGAGGACATTGTATTCTCGCGTGAGGTTTCTAGGTATGTGTTTTGCATTAGTCAGCAATGATATTGGAGACGTTATTTTCTCACGTGTGGTTTTAACGCGTGCGTAGTTTTGACGGGGACGAGAACCGCATAGAGTTTGGCGACACTAACAAGATACAAAGCCGACAGAAGAAGTTCGAGATGGAGGGAGCCCTCATGCACCACATGGTCACACAACACACTGCAGCACCCGACAACACGGCGCTGAGGGACACTGGTATAAATTGTGTGTGATTGTGTGCGTACATGTTTGTATGTGTGTGTGTATGTATTGATGTGTTTGTCTGTATGTTTGTGTGAGTGGATGCGGATGCCTGTTGGTATGAGTATGAAGTCTCTGACTGTGTGAGTGTATATAAATCTTGTTGTGTGTGTATGCGAATATAATTGTTTTCCAAATGTATGTGTTTGTTGTCACAGCTCCATACTTCTGTAGTGAGGCTAGTTTGGATCCCCATATGGTATATATGCGTGACTTCAGTAGTCGAGAGGATATTATGAACACCCATGTGGTGTCAAATCGGTACTATATGGCATTGCATAGGTATGGTACGTCGACTTAACGTATGTGCGTGTTACCTGTACCTGTACCTGTATCTGTATGTGAGCGATTGCGCATTTCTGTTAGGGTCACATTATGGATACTTTCGTTCCGCTTATACGTTGAGAGTAACGCCAAACACATGCAAGCACATACAAATACATGTATAAGCGCGTGCATATATATATATATATATATGTATGTATGTATGTATTTATATATATATATATATATATATATATATATATATATATATATATATATATATATATATATATATATATATATATATATATATATATATATATATATATATATATATATATA